TCTAGGAACTCTGATATGATACTATTTTGAAAACGAATTGTAATAACTTAATGATTTTTTTTAACGTTTTAAAAGTTTAAATTTGGCATGATTTTTATGGATGTTATGCATTTAATATTTATATGTAAAAGATATGAATACTCGGTAGTTAAGACCACAAGTCTTACTTAAAATTCAACAAATATCTTGAGGTAAGCATTCTCCTTTCAAGTATCTTATCATTATTATAAAAAAGACATCTTCATGTGTTTAAATTGTTTAATCATTCTCATAATAACAAATCTTGTGTGTTAATTATGTTTTTTTGACATCTGCAACGAGTCATAAAGGATATCCTCATGGAAGGGGCAAATTTGCAATATATTAGAGAATATATGTAAAGCAGTGTCAAAATAGAACATGTAAAATAGTGTCAAAACAGAATACCAAAATGAATTTACTATTTGTATTTTAGTGATTTTGTATGGAGAATAAGGTTTAAAACATAATAAAATATTAAAATATACTCATATAACATGCAATAAGAATAACTTAAATGTCCGTGATTTAACATACAATGACCAATGCATCAATATTAACTTCAATGTTTGTAATTTAACATTTAATGAACATGGAATCAAACATATACTTTTTGTTTTCTATTTATAACAAAAATACTTTGCTTTTTGTTGCATTTATAAGACCATGGTATGTGACCTGATAGCAAGTTGTTATTTTATGTTTGCAACAAATTACATTGTTATATCTTGCTCATGTTATTTTTATCCATAAAATTTCTTATATTTCTTAAAAGATAATAACATTTTGCTTCTATTTCTTGTTTTTAATATAGACAGTTCACTTTATGTGATGCTCATAATAACAACTTACTTATATTTCATTTGACATTTTGAGAAAATAAAACATTTATATGTTTGAGCTAGACACATACCTTGGTGTCAAAAGAAGATGAAGAAGTTTGTATTTTTATTTGTTTATTTTAAAATCCAATTATTATCTATTTTACGATTAATATTATGTTTTTTAAAAATTTAATATTGTTTTACTGTGTCTTCAGTATAGTACACGGGTTACATGAAATGATTTTTATTTTATTTTTCTGAAAAGTCTGGATATATGATGTGTTCGACAAAATTAGTTTTGAAATTATAGTTTTCATTTTTTATACGAGTGTTTAGTAAAAACATAAAAACTTAAAAATATATAAAATTACACAAGAACAATTGTCTAAAAAGGATAAATATATAAATATAGTTTTAAGAGTAATTCTTGAAATTCATTAAAAATGTTCAATAGTTTTTTTAAAGGTTACCTAAAATAACTTTTAGATTTGGAACTATTTATTTAATAAAAGTTCATATTACCAAACCAAACGTAGTTTTTATTTAAATCAAACTTTTTCTTAATAACTAAAAGTTAAAAACCCCTAAATACTAAATGTGAGATACACCCATAAACAAATCAAATGATTCCATAATTTAGATATCTTATTATTTATCTTTATAAACTCACATGGTGTTCAAAAGGTATTTATATAATCTAAACATCATATAATTATGTAAAGTAAATTTTGAAAGATGCAACAGGAAATGATATGAAGATATACCATTTCTTTATATTAAGTCATAAGTCATTAAATATTTCGAGTGTTGAACCACAATATCTTGTAAAGCTACGTTTCAACTAAGGTTGTTAAAAGTTAGTAATAATATTCGAATTTTTTTGTTACTAACAAAAGTATATATCATCGATATACCTACTTTGCCAACGAAACATGTACGTGTACATTAAAGATCATCGATATACCTACTTTGCCAACGAAGCACGTACGTGTACATTCAAAAAAGGACTTTGTAAAATTTTGTAACCCAAAACTTATTAATAGTAATATTTTAATGGCCGGAAAATTTATTAAGCGAGTGAAAGTGAAAAAAAAAAAAAAAAAAAAAAAAGATAAAAATAACGATGAATTATCTCAGAGTGGAACAGTTTGATGTGGATTTAAATTAAAATCTAAGCACATGTATCAGTTTTGTAATCTTAAAACCATGTGCGGTTTTTCAAATGGTATGGTTTTACGTGGGACGGTTTTAAAGGTTTTTTGGTATAATCTTAAAATGACGAGAATTTATGTTTTTATTCGTTTATTTATTATGTAAACGAACTCACTGTCAAACTGTTAACGAAGAGTTCGATAAACGTTAAATTCATTTACAGTCTTAGATACACATGTCTAAGTTTAACCAACGAGCAATAAAGAACCAAATTCGAAGTTTAACCCCAATCCATCTCAATTCATTTACAGTCTTATATATGCATTTATATAAATATTACACATATAAACTTTTAAATAAATATTATACATATATTTATAAAAATATTACACATACACATATTTAAATAAATATTATACATTATCGTGTTTTTAATATATATTTTAATTATAAACTTTTATAAAATATATTATCATGTTTTAAAATTTCAATAAGTATTTAAATTTTTATATAAATTTGATACAAAAAAAAAAAAAAAAAAAAACTTTATATGTATAAATAATTAATATAATTTAATATATAACAAAATATAATAAATATTAATAAAATATTACATCTAAATTATAATTAATAGATAAAAATAAAATAGAAATATATAAAATAAAGAAAGGAAGACCGACAATTAAAACTTCAACTCTATTTTGAAAGAATAAATAGTGTTCATTTATATTTGGTGGTATACTATTCATCTTTCATAAAATTGAGATAAAAATAAGGTGCACTTAGAGATTAATAGAAAATTTTTTTTTCATAAAATTGAGATAGAAATAAGGTGCGCTTAGATATTAATAGAAGAAAAAATAAAGTTTGGAGGATGGATAGAAGATGCTTTAAAGGGATATGGTTTCTAGCTCAGCGGTACCCGATGTTGTCCTCCTTTTTTGAGGTTGAGGGTTCAAGTCCCATCGTGGACATAGGTGAATTTAAGGTGTAATTTAAGAGTAGGTTAGATTTATCGTTAAAAAAAAAAAAAAAAAAAAAAAAAAAAAAAAAAAAAAAAAAAAAAAAAAAAAAAAACTGGTTATAGAAATAATAATGGGTTTAGGAGTTGGATCAAGTGGATGAAAAGTCCAATGGAACCTTTATATATTTTTTTGTTCTTTGCTAACATTTAGAAAGTCTTTTTTCAATAAAATCATGTCGATCAAAAAAGAAAAGATAAGGATAAAAAAAATATAAGGATATGATTTATCGTCTCTGAGAATTATAATTGGTCATAGAAGATAATCAATCAATGTAACTATCCTTTAGTGGATGTTAACTCTAAGGACATTAGCAATGTATTAAAATTAATAAGAGGTTATCATTTTATATTTTATATAATTCTATCAAAATGTTTTTATTATTATTAAACTCTATAAAGTTCAATAAAATATATTTTAAATAAATAAAAGATTTTCTTTTTTCATTAAAAAGTTCAACGACCTTTAAATTTCATATAGTAAATATTAATTAGGCATGCCACTTAATTTAACTCTCTTATTAAACTTTGATGTTTAACCGAATTCTCAACACCAACATATTATTCTCAATAGAAAATCACTTACCAACAAAATGTCATCATCAATAAGTAATGTAATCGAAGCCAAAACTCTCCCGAGGAGCCAAACTCTCACCCATCTGTCATATAAACACCAAGTATTGCAAAATGTGATTTGGATCATTCTATTGCAAATTCTGATTTAGATAATTCTATTAGATTTTTTTGACACCCCACGACTAAAAATGAGTTTACTTATTGATTCGATCATAATAACTTTAGAAGTATCCAAAGCAAAAATCTTAGAGCATGTAGTATGGGTCATCGTAACGTCGTTAAGACTGATGTGGTAGCCCATAACGGCGTGATAACATCAAAAACATCATCCCCCATTTCTTGTTGCATCTTGTTGTGTTGCTTATTGTTGTCTCAATGACAAGAAGAAACGAGATTATCTATTGACTGTCAAATTATCTCTCTCTTTCTCCTCTTAAATGGTGTTATAACACCATGAACACCACCTTCTTTTCTTTTCTTGTTGTTTTTTTTATATCACCATTAAAACGGTCCCATACTTAATAGTCTTAGAAAACGAACTTTAATATGCAAATAACAACATCAAATATCCTCCAAATATTGGTCAAAGTGATCATTACCAACCATTTTTTGAACATGACAACCCCAACTTAATCCTCTAGCCGCAAGTTGATTAGAAGGACGGATGATGTTGCTCCACGGTCTGGTAAAGAAACCTTGCAAATTGCCACATCTACATTTAACAATTTGATCAAAAAAAAAATTTATCAATAATAAAAATGACCATAAATTTTGCAACTTGAGATTCCAAAAGTTTTTGAAAATTTCTGTCCATCGCAAATTACCTTAAAAAACTATTTTTTCCCCCTTTTTTTTGTAGCGTAAAACATTTTCAAAATTTATGTATTAAAAAATATGACAACTTTCAAAAGTATTTGTTTCGGAAAATATTAAAAATAGTTTTGCAACTCAAAAAGTACTGCAAAAGTTACCAAGTTTTCATGACAGATAGTTATTTTGTACTATTTTTTAAAAACGACGTAGCAACATTAGGTAACGAGTTGATATAAATTTAACTAAAATTCTGGATTCAAGACGTATTGCATTTACAACTAATTATCATATATAGTCATTTAGATTATTATTAATCCCCACATCCCCATTGGAACAAAAAATTTAGAATATAGTTTTACTTTTTTCGTTCATCAGCTTCAACAAACTTGTTTGAATACTTGCCATCTCGAGCTTCATCAAAATATGCAGTTGCGTGTTTTCTTGAAAACTCAGTCCTTAATAATGGTCAAGACTCAAAAGCATTTAAATTTCAAACCAATATTGCCAACCATCACCTCATTACTCACCTTATTTATTATAGTCGCTCATCTACAAAACCCATATCTCAGATCCAACTCCAAATCACATACACAACAATGGAGATCGGTTTCTTGGAAACCCTAAAAACCCAACCTTTATGGGTAATTGTTCTTTTTCTCTTGGGTTCTTTATCTATATTAAAGATTTCAGTTTCAATTCTCACATGGGTTTACGTTAATTTCTTAAGACCTCCAAAGAACATCAAGAAATATGGATCATGGGCACTTGTTACTGGCTCCACAGATGGCATTGGCAAAGCTTTTGCCTTTGAATTAGCTAAAAAAGGTCTTAACTTGATCTTGGTGGGTCGAAACCCTAAGAAACTAGAGGACGTTTCCTCTGAGATTCAATCCAAATTCTCAAAAACCCAGATCAAGAATGTCATTTTTGATCTTACCGGTGATTTATCGGAAGGTATCAAGAAGATTACTGAGGCAATCGAGGGGTTAGATGTTGGGGTTTTGATAAACAATGCTGGGATTTCATATCCTTACGCTAGGTTTTTCCATGAAGTCGATGATGAATTGTTGAATAATTTGATTAAGGTTAATGTTGAAGCGACTACTAAAGTGACACAAGCAGTATTACCGGCGATGTTGAAGAGAAAGAGAGGCGCAATCGTGAATATTGGCTCTGGTGCTGCTATCGTCATCCCATCAGATCCTCTTTATGCTGTTTACGCTGCAACAAAAGCGTAAGTTTTTCATCTTCATTCTTTCTGTAATCAAATTTGATTACATTTTGAAAAGGTCTCGTGTGTTTCGTTTGTTGTTTGTTTAGGTATATCGATCAATTTTCAAGGTGTTTGTATGTTGAATACAAGAACAGTGGGATCGACGTCCAGTGTCAGGTAACTTTTTTACTTGGAACTATCAAATGTATCAGAGTTTGATTCAGAAAACTGGTTGCAGGTTCCATTATACGTAGCAACGAAGATGGCGTCTATCAAAAGATCTTCGTTTTTTGTACCATCACCGACCGGATATGCCAAGGCGGGGCTACGGTGGTTGGGGCATGACCCACGCTGCACAGCTTACTGGCCTCACTCCGTCATCTGGGCTTTGCTAAACTCGTTGCCGGAGTTTGCCGTGGATTCTTGGCGCCTAGGGTTCTGCCTCCAAATCAGAAAGAGGGGGCAACTCAAAGATTCCCGGAAAAAAGAATAGTGATTAAAAAAACATCACTTGTAGCCTAAATGGCATGTATCATGTATGTTGTATCTTCTTGGAACGAAGATCTTGTAATAGTAACTTATTTGAATCATAATAAATCTAATCCGGTTGAGTATAAGAAATGGCAAAAAAGAAGATATATAAATATATGTTTTCGAAGAGAAGTTGATTAACAAGAAATGCGATTACAAGATTACTAGTTCAATGTACCCAATTTATATATATATGATTGATCAATTTCTCATTTTGTTGATCTGGTTAAGAGCAGGCTGTAAAATGTTGTAGAGCACCCAAAGAATAGCAGGTGCGACAACAATCAAAAGAAGTTGCCCTCTATTGTCGTTAGCAGCGGCTTCAGCGGCGGCGGCGGCCTCCGGCGTAGCCAACAGCCCAGAAGATGCGGCTAAACCACCACCGATTCCAAGCCCAACCACCACTCCTTTGGTCCTCATCTTGTTGATCTGGTTAACCGCAGGTTGAAAGATGTTGTACAGCACCCATGCGATGGCTGGAACGAGAGGTAAGAGAAGAGCGATTCCACGGTTGTCTCCTTCTGCAATGTCGGCGATCTGTTGTACGGCAAAAGCAGGGTCGCATGAGTTCAAGGTGGAGAAGATTGCTCCGGCGATGGCGGTTCCGGTGAGGGAGATGGTGGCGGGTTTTGAGGAGGTTAGGGATTTGGGAAGGTTTTGGACGGAGATGAGAGAGATGGGTTTGTTGGGGGTTGGTTTAGAGGGTTTGGCGGATGTCATGCACTTGGCGTTAAGCATGGCCATGGTGGTTGATAGTGTGGCTGCCATTGGAGGTGGTGATGTTAAAGATTGGAGCTTTTTGGAGTCACGGAATTGGAGTGATGGGCGAAAATGGGCATATAGGAAGTGAGAGCCAATGGGGATAGTGGATTCGAGATTGTGGTCTTATCCTGTGGAGGATTGTGGGGAGATTTAAGCCTCATATTTGAGTCCCCACTTTGCTTTTCTTATCACTTACCTTGGCTACCACCGGATTGTGCTTAAGATTAAACTAGTCAAAATACATATGTGTACATATCAAATATCTCACATGTCTTTGCTCTTGCTTTTTGGTTTCCTCATTTTGATTATGATCAAGGAAAAACAAAAGGGAAATTTTCTAATCTTGATACAAGGGATATATGATAATGCAAGATAGACATTAGTATGAAGTATTGAAGTGAGCAGGGAAAATGTTACAAATCTATAGATAACTAGGTGAATGTCTGCGTGTTGCGTAAAAACACTTATATAGTTGAAGTTTTTATAAATATATGTTTTTTTTTTAAATATAACAGTAACGTTGTTGTTAAATTTTATATAATAATTTTTATACTAAATTGATATAATATATTGATTATATTGAATTATATGATAATATATACATCTATTATAACTTCTTAATCTTAATCGTTTGAATAACTTCTACCTGCGAGTTACACATGGATAAAATTAAATATAATATACAATATAATGTTATTTATAGTTGTTGTTATTGTTATTTATTTTTTTAAAATTTATTTGCTTAATGTTTTAATTTCTATCGTTATAATTATTTAAAACATCAAACATTGTTTTTTGATTTTAAAGGTAACAATATAATCATTTTTATACAGTTATTTTTAACTATTGTTATTGTAAGTTTCTTTAAACTGCTTTTTTGGAAACTTTTAACGATTATAAAAAACATTTAGGAAATATTTTAGTTAAATTGAGATTATAATTTAGTTTTTGCATTTATCACTATAATTTATCACTTTTATCTATTTACAAAATATTTTTTTCTTTTTTAAGTGGAAGTGAAATTTATATTTAATTTGACATTGTAATACGTAGAAACACCTATATAGTTGAAGTTTTAACAAATATATATTTTTTAAATATAACAATAACGTTGTTGTTAAATTTGATATAACAATTTTTATACTAAATTGGTATAATATATTTATTATTTTGAATTATATGATAATATAAACATGTATTACAACTTCATAATCTTAATCGTTTGAATGACTTCTACCCGCAACTTTATAAGTAGACGTAAAGATATTATTTTAAAATTGAAAATTAGTTTATTATGATTACACTTTAGGTTTGATATTTATTTAACCTTATTAACCAACTTATAATCATTATTAGAAAGACACTACAATTTACCACTTCTAGCTATTTACAACATATTCTTTGGGTTGTATAAGTTAAACTAAAATTTATATTTAAGTTGACTCTGTAATGTTATATTTAAATTATTAATTTAAGTATTTTATACAAATTATTCCAAAACTCTATCTTTAAAATGATAATTGTTTACATCCAACAATATATTAAAACTAATAAATTAAGTATAATATGTTATAAGTTAAAAAAAATATATAATTTTATTAGTAGAAGTAAAGATATTATTTTAATATTGAAATTTAGTTTATATATGATTACACTTTAGGTTTTATAATTATTTAACCTAATTAACCAAATTATAATTATTATTAGAAAGAAATTGAAAAGTTATGAAAGTTTCAAATGAATGTAGTGAAAGGAAAAGGTATGTGGGGGTTTCAAATGCATGAGATTCAAGGAAAAAATGTTAACTTTATAAGTATGTATGATTTGATTGAGAGATAATTATATAGGAGACCATCGAAGTTTCAAATTTGTTCAAAAAACATCATTCAAGTATTACATGTTCAAAAAACACCATCAAACTAATACATATGTTCAAAGAACACCAACAAAATACATATTATGTTCAAAAAACATCATCTTTATGGTTTGGGGTAACTTATATGTTTAGCCCCTAACATTTTTTTCTTAACTCGGACGGTCTTTAACGTTTATATTTATTTTGCCTTCGAACCATGATCGAGTTAAAAGACTAATATTTTCTTATCAATTTTATTTAACGTTTATTTTTATTAATTGTTAATTATTTGTACAATTGATATATATATATATATATATATATATATATATATATATAATAAATAATAACATAAATTGTATAAATAACTAATAAATAATAAAAATAATGTTAAATGAAAGTAATAAGGGTATATTAGTCTTTAATTCGATTTGGATCCAAAGTCGAAGCAAATTTAAATTAAAGAGATCGTCCGAGTTTAGAAAAAAAGTTAGAGACTAAATATGTAAATTAACCCAAACTATAGAGATGATGTTTTTTTGAATAGAACATATACTTCGTTTGTGTTTTTTTAACATATGTTTTAGTTTGATAGTGTTTTTTAAACATGTAATATTTGAATGGTTTTTTTTAAATGAATTTGAAACTTCGATAGTCTCTTAAGTTATTTTCCCTTTGATTGACTATCTACCTTGTTATCATTTGAATATGGAAGTAGGTATGATAATAGTATACTTAAACCACATAGGATTAATTATTATATGATGCCTTCAAGATAAATATTAATAGTTGAATACTTGTGAAATGGTAAAAATTCAATTTAATTTGATATCATATGAAATTTGAGAGGTGTTCAGTAAAATCTGAATGATTCAGATGTCCTAATCATTTAAAGGCTCTAAATGAAAATATATTGTTAGGTAAAATTGTTAAATGTACGTGTGTTGAATGAAAAAACAAAGATAATCCTAACTTATCTATGGATTTATATGACTATACATCTTATAAAATAGATATTTTTTCCTTGTATTTGAAATCTAACTTTTTTTTTTTCATATTCATCTACTATTAACAATCATTTAAAAGTTTTTGTAACTTATAATATTTGATGATATTTATAACACAATTTATATATATATATATATATATATATATATATATATATATATATATATATATATATATATATATATTATTTAAAAAGCTATAAATGTTTGTGTGGTAGATTTGAAGCTTTAAATAAAAATTGTCTATTAAACGTCTAACTAGATATTATATAAAATGTTTTGTTTTATGTCATATATTTATTATGTAAATGATTATTTCTCAATTTTAGTTCCAACTTTTCGTTAAGTATTACTAAGATCATGTCGATTTTTGTTTTATGTAATTTATTTCCTATATAGATGAATCTTTATTTTATATAATTTATTTCTTATATAAATGATTATTTCTCAATTTTACGATTAAATCGAATTTTGTTTTCTTCAATGTATTTCTTATTAATAATTGAGCCCGTGCTTTGCGCTGGGTTTTTATGTTTTTTTATTACGTATTAAGAGTGACAGTTAATTAAACCAATGACATTTTACAAAATTTAAAGTTGAGGAAATCAAAATAACATTTAAAAAAATAGAGATGAAAAATACATTTAACAAAGTCGATGATTAAAAATCATATTATGTATTACTATGAGGATGGGGATAAACGCAAAAGTCTAACAAACGAAAGCATAAAAAGTGATATTTAACAAAGTTAAAGGTAGAGAGGGTGAAAGTGAAAATCTAGAAAATAAAGGGTAAAAGTGATATTTTACAAAGTTGAAGATGGAATGGATGAAAGTGACATTTTAAAAAAACAAAAGGATAAAAAAAAAATCCATTTTTCAAAATAAAGAGGATGCAAATGATGGGTTATACAAAGTTGATGGATTAAAGTTACACTTTACGCATTGACATATATTTGGATTAACATTTAAAAAAAATAGAGGGGTGGAAAAAAAAGTTTTACAAAGTAGATGAGAAAAAATCATATTGTATATATATGATAAGGAGGTAAGAACGGAAGATAAACACAAATATCTAGAAAATGAATGGGTAAAAATGATATTTTATAAAATTGAATGTTGAAAGAGGGGGGGGGGGATATATTTGTACTAACATTTTAAAAAAATAAAAGGGTATAAAATAAATTTTACAAAGTAGATGAGAAAAAATCATATTGTATATATATATACTATAGAGACGGAGAATAATCACAAATATCTAGAAAACGAATGGATAAAAATGATATTTTACAAAGTTGAAGGTTGAGAGGTGATAGGGATAATGTTTTAAAAAGTAGAAGGATGAAAAGTATCATTTTACAAAATACAAGGGATCGAAAATGAATGATCATACAATATTAGAGGATTGAATTTAAACAACATGCATTAGGATACTTAGTTAGCTAGAGTAGTATGTATTTGTATATATTGATAATGTAAATAACATATTTTGACTATTTCTTAATTTTTTTTCCAACATATTAGTAAGGTTGAATCATTAATATTGATTTGACAAGATAAAACATAAATATGGGTCAAATAAAATGGTATATAAATTTAAGATGATATACTAAGTCAAGTGAACCAAATGTATTGTATGATTTAAAATATGTTTTTATTATATTAAAATGTATGCGTCGAAAAAAAATATTTATACGTTTAAAGCATATTACTATGTATATATAAATCTAAGTTCATTAATCTCTAAAAAATCCAATGCACAATATGTATTAATTTATACAATTCTAATGTATTAATTTATAATTCTAATAAAACTAGTATGTAAGTCATCACATACGTTGCGATGGAGAACTTATTTACAATTACTAAAAATATAACTATAAAAAGAAATTGTGTAATGGACCGAAACGCAACTTTGATCCATGAGGTAAGTAAGTAATTTGTATATAAAATGTGATTTATAAATATCACCAATCCACATATAGTAGGGTGACTATTAGACCATATCAAGTGGTCCACAAAGTATGAAAATAAAGTTATAATCCAAACAATTATATATTAATGAAATTAATAAAAACAAAGTTTGAATGTATATCTTAAGGAAATCAATAAATACAAAACGTATAAAAAATCATGTAAGGACAAAAACGTAACTTCAATATGCGGGGTAACTCATTTGCATATCGTATATAGAATATGATTTATAAATGTCAATAGTCCACATATATCACGGCCACGATTATATAATATCAAGTGAACATAAAAAAAAGTTTCGATCAAAAGTGATACGTATGAAAGGTAGACAAAAATAAAACTTGAAAATGTATTTTAAAAAAACTTTAAAGTATAATAAGAGACCTAAGTCGTAACTTATAAAATGCTAATAATTTAAATTTAAAATTATAAAGGATAAAAAATGTTACGTAAAATTTACATGAGGGGAAAAAATATAAATATAAGAAGTTAGATGTTTATTGTATTATTTTATAATATGAAGTGAAAGTAATAATGATTTGAATTTAGTAAATTTAAATTTAAAAATAGTAAAACAAATGAACAATAAAAATGTAACGTTTCAAAAATATGATCCAAAAATTTTGTTTTTAATTTAAATAAAACACTATTCCAAAAACATTATCCATACAAGTCAAATGAAAATAAATATCTCAACATCATAACAA